GAGCTGCTGTAAACTCTAACCTGACACAGAGAGAGAGCCCGGTCCATCCACAGTCTCTGCTTCAGTGTAGAGCCTCCTGTTCAGCAGAGAAACAGCTCTAGACTGTCCCTTTGACTCCACTCTGCCCAGATTGTCCCTTTGACTCCCCTCTCCGCCTCTCGCACAACAACAGCGGGCTCTCTCTCCGGAGGCTGGGGCAGATTAAACACAGCGACAGCCTGTAATTGAAAGCCCAACGTTTTAATGAGAATACATGTAAATATAGATTCATTCTGCCACACTGCCGCGCTTTATATTGAGAGTTGATTTAAAGAAGGGGTGAGGCGGGGGGGGGGGGGGGGGGGGGGGGGAGAGCGGGGGGAGGGCGGGGAGATCAATGCAAAAGCCCAGGGGGAAGGTGTGTAAAAAGAAAAGAGAGAAAAAGGCAGGATTTTCAAATAGACTGTTGGACTGTGAGGCCAGAGAAAAGAGCTGCAGCAAAGCACTATCCCGGCTTTGAGTGCGCCACAATTTACAGCCGAGAGAAGCCGGGTTTTTGTCTCTGCGCCGCCGCCAAAGAGACGGAGACGGTTTCATTTCAATAAAGAAAGGGGTCTGTCGTTTCTGTCACAGGTTTGTTCGAACTGTGATTGAAAGACAAACCAGGAGGTGATATTGTCTGCGAGAAAATGCCCAAATAGACAGTTTTTTAGGAGTGAATATATGTCTAAATCTTCGAGTGTGATATGTATGTATTCTCATTGTCACCTGTATGTATGTATATAGGCTTACATATGTTTATTTTTTACTTTTTATCTTAGTTTATTTTATTTTTATTTTATTTTTCCTTTGCTCTTTGTTATCTTATTATTTATTATTTATTATTTATTTATTATTTATTTTTTTTTATTTTTTTTTTGTATTTTTTTTTTTTTTCTTTGTATTTTATTATTATTATTATTGTATTTTTTTTTATTATTATTATTTTTTTTATCCCCGATCTCCTCCCCTTTTCCCCCCCATGATAAAACACAATAAATATCTCAGTCATAAAAAAAGGAGTGGACGGACCGAGTGTGACATCACCATAGTGTTAGCCTTAGTGCGGAAGAAGCTTATCTGAACAGAAGCTAGCTGGATTCTTTATTTATATTTTGTTGTGATGGCGAAACAGGGGCGGGGTGTAATTGGATCCTATGAAAATGTAAGATAAAACCAGTATGAAGGGTAAAAAATACTTGTCTGTAACTCCCTGTGCTGCCACCAGAGGGAGCAGTAGATTTTTTTTCTCCAAATTGGAAAATTACCAGCTGCAAAGACGACACATGTGATTTTAAAGAACGTAGTTTCACTTTTAAATTTGTCGTAAAAGACAGAAAGAAAACTGGTCTGAGTGTGATGTCATAGTGGTACGATGACATCACACTGTTACAGGACGGAGACGGGAGCTTTCAGGTAGAAGGGGCGGAGCTACAAGTTTGTGCCAAAAGTTCTTGATATTAGCATGGATAGGACTAAAACCAACGCCAGGTCTGTGACTGACGAGGGAAGAACATGGAGAAAAAGTCACGTTCTACTCTGCAATTCATTTACAATTATTTGCGTATTGCTCTAAATCACTATTATGTCTGTGGACTTGTTAATTGAAGTTGTCGATTTGTCGTTATCAGATCAGAGAATCAAACCGTTCAAACACAGGAAAGGCAATGATAGAAAACACAGAGACAACCGTCCATTAGTCTTGGATCATCACCACTACTTGATAAGTACGTGCTGACGACATGGTCCCAACGTGTGTATGTGTGTGTGTGTGTGTGAGGGTGCGCCTGAATATGCATGTGTGTGGGGACAGGGTTTCCAATAGCAACCGGGAGAGTGTATCATCCGCCGGTACAGCTGGCGAACCTCTGGGAAGCCGGGGGAAAAGTCCAATCAGAGCCGAGCCGGAGCCAAGTTCCTGAAGCGAGGCCAGATTAGAACCCCCCAGGAGTGACCTCAGCCGTCATTGACACGTCCCCCTCCTTATCCGTCAGGCTGGCGGCTAACCCACACTGAGATGCTAATTAAAAGCCGCAGAAATATGGCCCTGGCTCTTCCCCAGGTGTAGTATCGCTGGGTCTGGTTCATCGGTCTTCGCCTCAGATGTCCTCCAGACACAAACGTGAAAGGTGAACTTGTGTCTAAACAACGTTGATAAACAGGAGCGGCGCGAGTCAAATAAATAGTTTTCAGTCAAAGAGCATTGACCGGAGGAGAGTGGGCTAATCCGGAGCTAGCTTGAACACGAGAATTTTTAGTTTTGGAAGTGTAATGTAAATTTTTGGTCATGCTATATTTGTGACTTTTTCTCTGGCTAGATATTTTAGCTTCTTTATTATGCTAAAGTTAGAGATTGTAGACTAGCTTCTTTATTATGCTAAAGTTAGATTTTATACTAGCTTCTTTATTATGCTAAAGTTAGAGATTGTAGACTAGCTTCTTTATTATGCTAAAGTTAGAGATTTTATACTAGCTTCTTTATTATGCTAAAGTTAGAGATTGTAGACTAGCTTCTTTATTATGCTAAAGCTAGAGATTTTATACTAGCTTCTTTATTATGCTAAAGTTAGAGATTGTAGACTAGCTTCTTTATTTTGCTAAAGCTAGAGATTTTATACTAGCTTCTTTAGATCTTGATCAAAAATCCAGGATAAAAACAACAGGGATTTGAATAAGAGTGATTCCTGTTCGACATTTCCAGGTGTTTGATGGTTAAAGTTTATTAATTGACTGATGAAAAACAGCTGTGACTATTGGAAGGAGAGAAGAAGAAGAAGAAGACAAAGAAATAAATTGATATCATCGTTTATTGGACTCTATAAACCCAAAAAAATCCTCTGTGAAAGTTTAGTTCTCTTTTTGAGTGTCAGCCGTTTAACTGACACTGAGGTCTGTGGGGAAATGTGCTCACAGTCCATGTGGATATAGGCTGCCGTACCGCGGGTGGCCGCTAGTGGCCTCTAGTGCATGTGGAGTAAGTAATCTTTATTTATATACTGCCTTTCACAGACCAGAGTCACAAAGCGGTTTACAATTGCTATTTTTTGGGCACTTGTCTCTCACTCCACACAGAGATGGGAGCGGGGTCGCCGAACAGGAGGCGCATGCCAGACCTATTGTACATATTTTTAGTGGTAGGGGAAACCGGAGTACCCGGAGGAAACCTACGCAGACACGGGGAGAACATGCAAACTCCACTCAGAAAGGCCCTGGTCCGGCCGGGATTCGAACCCAGGACCTTCTTGCTGAGAGGCGGGAGTGCTATCCACTCAGCCACCGTGCCGCCCTGTGGAGACAGAGAGAGACCAGAGAGAGACCAGAGAGAGACACCAGAGAGAGACCAGAGAGAGACCAGAGAGAGAGACCAGAGAGAGACACCAGAGAGAGACACCAGAGAGAGACCAGAGAGAGACCAGAGAGAGACACCAGAGAGAGACACCAGAGAGAGAGACCAGAGAGAGACCAAGAGAGAGACCAGAGAGAGACCAGAGACCTCTAGTCCGTGTGTATTTAGGCTGCAGTACCTTGGGTGGCTTCTAGTCCGTGTGAAGACAGGTTTAAGCAGATAAATTCACGCATTCATGGCCTTTGCACACGTATACACACATACATACCAACAGTACACATATACACACACACACACACACACATTCGCACTGAGGTGTTAATTAAACAGTGGCAGGTGTTGTCATTTCGGCGCCGGCTCTGACTGAGGAGTCTGCACTGCACCCACTGTGATACAGCTGCCATGTCTCACACACACACACACACAGACACAGACACACACACACACACAGACACACACACACACAGACACAGACACACACACACACATAGACACACACACACACAGACACACACTGCGATGAGACTGTGACATTCTCCCACAACCAACAGTAGGTTTGTCAATTACTTCAAGTTTGAATTTACAGAGTTTACCATTCGCTACTTGCACATTACCCATAATGCTTTTAGACTCAGGGAGAACCCTTAGACGGCTGCCGTGGATCATGGGACCAGAGAGAAACCAGAAAGAGACCAGAGAGAGAATAGAGAGAGAACAGTGAGACAACAGAGAGAGAGCAAGGAGAGAACAGAGAGAGACTAGAAAGAGACCAGAGAGAGAACAGAAAAAGACCAGAGAGAGACCAGAGAGAGGCCAGAAAGAGAGCAGAAAGAGACCAGAGAGACCAGAAAGAGAGCAGAGAGAGACCAGAAAGAGACCAGAGAGACCAGCAAGAGAGCAGAGAGAGACCAGAGAGAGACAAGAGAGAGACAAAAGAGAGACCAGAGAGAGAACAGAAAGAGACCAGAGAGACTAGAGAGAGACCAGAGAGAGACCAGAAAGAGAGCAGAGAGAGAACAGAAAGAGACCAGAGAGAGACCAGAGAGAGACCAGAGAGAGACCAGAGAGAGACCAGAAAGAGACCAGAGAGAGACCAGAAAGAGACCAGAGAGAGGCCAGAAAGAGACCAGAGAGAGAACAGAAAGAGACCAGAGAAACTAGAGAGAGACCAGAGAGAGACCAGAGACAGAACAGAAAGAGAGCAGAGAGCGAACAGAAAGAGACCAGAGAGAGACCAGAGAGAGACCAGAGAGAGGCCAGAAAGAGAGCAGAGAGAGACTAGAGAGAGACCAGAAAGAGACCAGAGAGACCAGAAAGAGAGCAGAGAGAGACCAGAGAGAGACAAAAGAGAGACCAGTCTTTTAGTCTCCGGCTAAATTCTAATGTGAGTTTTGTTGCCTGTGGGAGGGGCAGAGGCCGCGTGTTTCAACATCTGCCGGAGACATAATGGACGCACCTGGATACCTGCGCTAACACTTACTCGCTAACGCTAACATTACAACGTCTTGGCATCGGTTCATGTGGCATTTTGTGCAACATCTAAGTGTCCAGGTGCGACGGCGAGCGGATCCAGGGCTCGCGAGGCTTAAGCGACTCAGCCGTCAGCTCGCCGCAACGGTTTCGGGACACGAGCCAAATGCGTCAGATTGTAAAGTGAGTCGCTGTCGCCGCCGATCCTCGTCTGGTGCATCTGCCGGAGCTCAGGGTGCAGCTGGTGGTGGGTCCAAAGGGGAAGAGAGGAGGATGTTCTTCAGAGAGAGAGACGTTAGAAGTGTGCGGTTTACTCTCCGGGCGCCACGGTGGATTTAAGTCGTCGATATGCGGTACCAGAAAGAGACCAGAGAGAGAGACCAGAGAGAGAGAACAGAGAGAGAGAACAGAGAGAGAGCAGATAGAGAGCAGAGAGAGAGACCAGAGAGAGAGCAGAGAGAGAGCAAAGAGAGAGCAGAGAGAGATCAGAGAGAGAGCAGAGAGAGAGCAGAGAGAGAGCAGAGAGAGAGCAGAGAGAGAGACCAGAGAGAGAGCAGAGAGAGAGCAAAGAGAGAGCAGAGAGAGATCAGAGAGAGAGCAGAGAGAGAGACCAGAGAGAGAGCAGAGAGAGAGCAGAGAGAGAGCAAAGAGAGATCAGAGAGAGAGCAGAGAGAGAGAGACCAGAGAGAGAGAGACCCGAGAGAGAGACCAGAGAGAGAGCAGAGATAGAGCAGAGAGAGAGAAGAGAGACAAGAGAGACCAAAGAGAGACCAGAGAGAGAGCAGAGATAGAGAACAGAGAGAGAATAGAGTGAGAGTAGAGAGAGAAGAGAGAGAGAGCAGAGAGAGAGCAGATTGAGAGTAGAGTGAGAGCAGAGCGAGCAGAGAGAGAAGAGAGAGACCAGAGAGAGACCGAGAGAGACCAGAGAGGGACCAGAGAGAGAGCAGAGAGAGACCAGAGAGAGACCAGAGAGAGAGCAGATATAGAGCAGAGAGAGACAAGAGAGACCAAAGAGAGAGCAGAGAGAGAGCAGAGATAGAGAACAGAGAGAGAAGAGAGAGAGAGCAGAGAGAGACCGAGAGAGACCAGAGAGAGAACAGAGAGACCAGAGAGAGAACAGAGAGAGGGACCAAGTATTTACAAATGTTTTTCTATTTACAATTTTTCAGCTCAAAACGGAGAGAAAGAAGTAGAAACCGGTCGACTCCCGCCTCATGAACATAATTCCAATACATGCAAAAATGTAATTGTTTATCTTTGAATAATTATAACTTTATATTAATTTGTTGTGTGTGGGTGGAGTCTGATGTTGCTCAGTTGGAATGAAAACCCGTAGCCACAGCTGCCCTTTGTTCTGCACAGATCAGACGCCTGTAGATTTCCATAATGTGTCTTTGATGGCTCCATTCTTTGAACCAAACCCAACACATATTTGCATAAACATCGCCGCTCGGTCTTCGCACTGCAGTTTTGTCGATGGCTCCGTGTCTGAGAATAATTCCTCTGGCCCCAGTGGGAAGCGGGCCGAGCCGAGCCGAGCCGATCAGAGTCAGTCCCGAGTGGAGGAGACTCATTACAGTTGATGCCGCTGTCGTTTGATATCAATACTTCCGTTGTTAGCATCACGACGCGGTGCCAGCTCATCCATAACTGAAGGTGGGAAGAGAAGAAGAGAGCACCGGCCAATCCAGACGCAGGAAGCTCGGCAAACCGGCCAATCCAGACGCAGGAAGCTCGGCAAACCGGCCAATCCAGACGCAGGCAGCTCGGCAAACCGGCCAATCCAAACGCAGGAAGCTCGGCAAACCGGCCAATCCAGACGCAGGCAGCTCGGCAATCCGGCCAATCCAGACGCAGGCAGCTCGGCAATCCGGCCAATCCAGACGCAGGAAGCTCGGCAAACCGGCCAATCCAGGCGCAGGAAGCTCGGCAAACCGGCCAATCCAGACGCAGGAAGCTCGGCAAACCGGCCAATCCAGACGCAGGAAGCTCGGAAAACCGGCCAATCACCATCCAATGTACTTGTGTTTCTGTAATGTCTAAATGCTGGTGTTTTTCGGCAGCTCTGGTACCGTGTTTGTGGGTATTGGGAGAAAAGTATAGATCGGTGGGGGTGTACCCGGAAAGAGAATTACCCAATGCTTGCTGAATTCACTCGTCAAATGAATGGGGCTTGTGCAGTTAATGCATGCACAAATGCGTTTGGTTTTTTTTCCGCGGCCATTTTGAAAAAGCCACAGAAGGCAAAAGTGGTGGTACTTTAGTTTGAAAGGCGGAGACAGGCGTCCGACTCAAGCAGACTCTGGATTCATGAACCAGAGGAAGTATTTATTTGTATTGATTGGTTTTGTTTGTGTTCCTTCTGTTGGATCCATAAAGTATCAGTCCTTCATCACGACGTTTACACAGTAGTTTATGGACTGGTGAACGAGTGATGTCACATGATCATGAACTGGGCCCCTCCGCGTCAGAGCTTCGGGACCTGAAAGCTGCAGCAGTGATCCAAACTGTCAGCCTGCTCAACGAGGACGTCCGAGGGTCTAAACCAGGCCCAACATCTAAAGAGCTCTTTAATTCTTTAATTAAAAGTTTTGTCAGAGGACTTCGCCAACTCAGATCAGAGAATAGACACATACACACATATATATAGACACACGCACACACACACACACACATATATATAGACACACCCACACAGAGAGACATACACACACGCAGACACACAAACACAGACACACAAACACAGACACACAACTGAATCCTTGTGTTTAAACATTCTATTTCAAATCCACATTGAAGTGAAATGAGATTATCAAATGTAACGACACATTGTCATTCAGACCAAATGTTCTTAAATCTGTTAGATTTTCTCACAACCCTTTACTTTGGGCACAACCAAAATGAGCTGTTAATGAAAGGGGAAGATGTAAGTACCCCAGCTTTAATTTAGCGAGTTTAGTTTAGTTTTCAGGAGGAGGCCCGGTATCTGCCTGCACAGGTTACGCACAGGTTACGCACAGGTTACGCACAGGTTACGCACAGGTTACGCACAGGTTACGCACAGGTTACGCACAGGTTACGCACAGGTTGCGCACAGGTTACGCACAGGTTACGCACAGGTTACGCACAGGTTGCGCACAGGTTACGCACAGGTTACGCACAGGTTACGCACAGGTTACGCACAAGTTGCAGAGACACTGTTATGGTGTGGATTTCATTTTTGTATTTTTGTTATATTTTGACGTTTTATCTGTGAATTAGTTTTAGTTGTACTTCCTGTCCTGTTTCCCTTGTCTCGATTGTGTGCCCCGCCCTGATGTGTTTCACCTGTGTCCCCTGTGTACCCTGTGTACCCTGTGTACCCTGTGTACCCTGTGTCCCCTGTGTACCCTGTGTACCCTGTGTCCCCTGTGTCCCCTGTGTACCCTGTGTCCCCTGTGTACCCTGTGTACCCTGTGTACCCTGTGTACCCTGTGTCCCCTGTGTCCCCTGTGTACCCTGTGTACCCTGTGTCCCCTGTGTACCCTGTGTACCCTGTGTCCCCTGTGTACCCTGTGTACCCTGTGTACCCTGTGTACCCTGTGTCCCCTGTGTACCCTGTGTACCCTGTGTACCCTGTGTACCCTGTGTCCCCTGTGCTCCTCTCCCCTTGTGCTGGTCCATCGTCTTGTCACCGTCCTGTCTTGTGTTGTTCATGTCTCTGTCTGTTTCCGTCCTGTTCCTGGTCCTGTTTTGGTTTTGGATTTTGAGTTGGTTTCTTTTTTATCATTAAACCCTTATTTTTGGCATTCCTACAATTTTGGGTCTTCATTCACTTCATCACATGACAGACACGAACACAACATGCAGAGAATGGTCTTATATGACCACATTACCGCAGCGCCGTTCACCGTGAGCCGCTCACAACAACCAGAGCGGCCGCAGCTGCCCCCGGGGTGTGCCCGGGAGCGGACTTCAGTTCATAGACTGCAGCCCCGCGATCACGCACTTATTCTTTTAAAACTTGACTTCCCAGAGACCTGCCCTGTTGCCATCTCTCACAGACGTGTGTACGCAGCATTCTGAGTGATATTATGGATCACTGGGTGGGTCATTCGGACATGCGTTAATGAAAAATGTAATGAACATGAGTTAACGCGATCATTTTGACGGCCCTAGTTTAATCTCTTCCCTCTCCTGGATCCAGACTCTTCTGTGAGAGGATTCTTGGCCGGACTTGACCCGGGCCGGTCCAGTCTGAGGAGAGTTGGCCGAGGCTGGAGGAGGTGAGATTGGCCGCTTCCAACTTGAGATTTTCAAATAACTCCTTTTACTCGACTGTGGGAAAACTAATCTGGGGGAAGTTTGGGGCAGAGGAATTACAACAGCTGCCTTTTGATTTTGTGCTGACAAGTGTAAACGTAGCTCTGAAAATACCTTTTTCTGTGAAATGAGTTGCCATTCATCATCATCTGCTGTCAAGATCCCATAAAGCAACACGCAACAAAGTAACACCATCCACTCCGGCTCCGGCTCCAAAAACGGCAAAAGAGAAGAGCTTTTACTTTTTTATTTTTTACCTGAACTGCAGAAATCAGCAGCTTTGGATCGGTCTCTAACTAAAGTCACCGCCGAACTCATTCATTTATAAACCTGGGCATAATAATAATAATAATAATAATAATAATGCTTTGGTTTTATACAGAGATTATTCTTTTACGGCAAACACAAAGGGGATAAGATACTACGATGGCCACAGCTGCCCTGGGGCACACTGACAGAAGCGAGGCAACCAGTCTGCGATCTACAGCCTCAGTCCTGGGTCTACAGCCTCAGTCCTGGGTCTACAGCCTCAGTCCTGGATCTACAGCCTCAGTCCTGGGTCTACAGCCTCAGCCTGGGTCTACAGCCTCAGTCCTGGGTCTACAGCCTCAGTCCTGGGTCTACAGCCTCAGTCCTGGGTCTACAGCCTCAGTCCTGGATCTACAGCCTCAGTCCTGGGTCTACAGCCTCAGTCCTGGGTCTACAGCCTCAGTCCTGGGTCTACAGCCTCAGTCCTGGATCTACAGCCTCAGTCCTGGGTCTACAGCCTCAGTCCTGGGTCTACAGCCTCAGTCCTGGGTCTACAGCCTCAGTCCTGGCCTCTTTGACGACTGCTGCTTTGACCAGGAACTGTACAAAACATAGATAAACTTTGAAAATGTGCCGATTGTTTTGACAGAAACTCAAATCTGCTCTGAGTCTGAGTCTGAGTCTGAGTCTGTGCCAGAGGCTTTGTGTGAGCTCCACCAACATTATCCGGATTAACAGACCCGTAAACTTCCTCTTCTGCAGGTTCTCAGACGCAGGTAGGACCTTGGTGTGTTCAGTCCTAGCCCCGGTCCTGGCCCCGCCCCCCGGCTGCTTTGGTCCTTCTCACTGTCTGTGTGGAAATGTTTTTGATTACATCTGCTGCAGTCGGAGCAGAGACGTCTCCAGACTTTCTCAGTGTTTGTGGAGCTCAGAGATGAAAGGCGTGTGTGCCAAACTCGAGACAGAGTAATGTGTTTCTAATCATCCTCCGCTCCGTCCATCTGTGAGCCAGACTTCCTCTCTCAGAGGCAGCCAATCACAGCGGCCGCTCTGTCACATGTTTGTACCCAGGGAGGCCTCAGATATCACACTTTCTCCTCCGTCGTTCCAGACAAAGACGAGTGGAAGGACTTTGTTTAAGTTCTGCTTCAGGAAGGAGCCCAAACAATGACAGGTGGAACTCAGTTAAAGAAAAGAAACTTGATTTTGAGAATATTCTCTTTGGGATTTTATCCACTCCATCTTCAGACACTTTTGAAGAGGCTCCAGGAGCCGCTCTGTGAGCACTTCAGAGCCGCAGGTGGCAGACCCCCGGTCTATGGTATCAATCCCATACACTGACGTACTGTACATTAGCATGTTAGCATTGGCCACTACTTAAGGTCTATAGTAAATACCAAGCCCCGGCAATCCAAGATGGCGTCCTGTTCAACTCTTCAACGCTCGTGCTCACCAGCGCATGGCACTTCACGGGGACAGAAAAATTAGCAAAACTCGTCTATATTTGGGCACCGTCTGGTCATCCCGGTTCTGCACAGTGGACGAGCTCCCATGATGCATTGCATCAAATACACGTGTGTGGCTTTCATGCACGTGCACAGAGGGGCTCGGCCGCGCTCTGACCAATCAGAGCAGAGTCAGAGCGGAGTCAGAGCGGAGCCAGAGCAGAGCCAGAGCAGAGTCAGAGCGGAGCCAGAGCGGGAAGGAAAGGAGCAGAGTTTGTGGCAGTAAAGTGTGGATTTAAAGAAAACCGAAGGATAAAAAAAAGTTCAGGACGACCTTTATGAAAGCTGTAGGTTCTCTGTCAGGTTCTCTAACAGGTTCTCTGTCAGCTGAGGTTGAGCTGTTTTAGTTTACATTGACTTCTATGAGAAATTTTTCATTGGTAGGACATTGGTAGAAAAGCTAATAGTACTCAATCCATATCTGATTATAGATCCATGGTGTATTATTCTCACACACGGACATACATTAGCGTGTTGTGTGTTAGCGTGTTGTGTGTTAGCGTGTTAGGAGGGGCACACTGGGGCAATTTCAGTCCAGCTGGAGCCAATCATGGAGCAGCACAACAGAGGAAATCAGGTGTCAGGCTAGAAAAAGGTGCAAGTGTGTGGTTCATTAGGCTGCAAGAAATCATGGAGGAGCACACTGAAGCGCACGCTTACAAACCACTGGTAAGTGCTGACTACAAGTCATGACTTCAAATTGTTATATAGAATGATTACAAATTATTTGTTGTTTGTGCAGCTTAGTCAAGAGTCCCTAATTGATGAAGTCGACTCAGATTCTGACGATTTAACTGTCAAGAAGAAACCTGTAAAAAAGTATGGAAAAAAGAAAAATCAAAAACACTTTTCTTCAAGACTCGGAAAGTGACGAACCAAAGGCAAATAAGATTGTTATCATGCAGCTGCAAAAGAAGAAAAATGGGGGGCGAGTTTATAGCAAGAGACACTTCTGCCTCTACTGTTCAATGTCCTGCCACAAAATGTCCCGTCATTTGACTAGAAAACATGGAAATGAAAGTGACGTAGCCAGAGCATTGGCTCTACCTGTGAAATCTAAAGCACGTAAACTTCAGTTTGATTTGATCAGGAATAGTGGAAACCGTGAGCACAATTTTGAGGTTTTAAAGGCCGGCATTGGAACTTTAGTCCCAGCTAAACAGCCAAATTCCCCAGTTAAATCCAGTGAGTTTTTGCACTGTATAGACTGTGGGGCATTGCTTAAGCGAAAGTCGCTGTGGAGGCATGTGGCCAGGTGCCGGCTTTCACAGAAAGATGCCCAGGCTAAACCAGGTAGAAGTAGGGTCCAGTCCCTCTGCTCCCTAGCCCAGCCTGTACCGGAGGGCATCAGCAAAAAGCTGTGGTCTTTAATTTGGGCAATGCATCAGGATGAGGTCACGGGTGTTGTCAAAGCAGAAAAGGGGATTCTGAGACTCGGAAAGCACCTGTACTTAAAACACGGGCATGATAAGACAAAGCATGATTACATTAGGCAGAAAATGAGAGAAGTCGGTAGGTTAATTAACGAAGCAAAAACCGCAGGGAAACTGAAAACAATGAAGGATTTCTTTAGTCCTTCCAACTTTAACCATGTGATTGATGCAGTCAGGTCTGTGGCTGGATATGATGAGGAAACAAATCAATACAAGACTCCATCCTTGGCCCTCAAACTCGGCCATAGCCTCAGAAAGCAGATATTCTTGAATGTGACTCAAAAATGGAGCATTGTGTTGATGAACTATTTATTAAAAACCTCCAACGAAGCCGGCTGCTTTTTGAGAAGAGGTGGGACGTCTGTGTTTCTTCTGCTGCCCTACAGACCCTCCGGCAAGCCAAGTGGAACACTCCGGACCTGCTCCCTCTGACTGAGGACGTTAGAGCCATGCATGCACATATTGAGGTATGTCGACCTGAATATGTGCAAACCCTAATAAGTGAGCCAACGTCTAAGCATTGGTCTAAACTGGCAGTTTTGACTCTTTGTGAGGTCATCATTTTCAATCGAAGAAGGGAAGGTGAGGTTTCAAAGATGCCACTGACAGCCTTTACCTTAAGAAGTAAGACTGGGATCCATTCTGACATTGCTCTGGGACTGTCCCAACTTGAGAAAAAGCTGTGTCAGCATTTTCAACGCATTGAAATTAAAGGGAAAAGAAGTCGGAAAAGTGCCGGTTCTTTTGACTCCTGAAATGATTGCTTCGATGGAGGTGCTGGTGGAGAACAGAAGGGCCTGTTCCATCTCTGACCATAACCCATACTTCTTTTCCCGCCCGGGCGCAGACACCCACATCAGGGGATCAGACTCCCTACGCCAGGTAGCCAAAGAATGTGGTGCGGTGCATCCAGAGATGCTATCCTCAACCAAACTTAGAAAGCACATAGCTACTATGTCTACAGTTCTCAATATGAAAGAGAATGAGATGGACATACTTGCCAACTTCCTCGGCCATGACATTCGCATCCACAGGCAATATTACAGACTACCAGAGGGGACACTGGAGCTGGCCAAAATCAGCAAAGTGTTGATGGCCATGGAGCAGGGAAGAGTGACGGAATTCGAAGGAAAGAGCCTCGACCAGATACAAATTGAGCCTGAAGGTAATTCTTGATATTATTAAAATATGTATGATTTTTTTCCCCTAAAGGCCACTTGTATTTTTATTTTCTGTGCGACAGGGAGAGCAGTAGAGATCCTCTCACAAACGGACGGGCTAAAAGAAACTTCAAGCGGAGAACCTTCAACCATTCATCCAGATGCACCCCATGGTAGTGGCAGTGCCCCTTCTGGTAAGTGTACCAGGTGGGGGATTACAGCCAGGCTGCTTGGTCCTAACCCTGGGAGTGTATATTGCTAATATATTTTTATTTCTCTCCCTAGAACGTGTAAGAAAGCCATGGTCTGCATCTGAGGTGAAGGCTGTGGAGAAGACCATGACACCTTTCATACAGACTGGAAAGGTCCCTGGGAAGTCTCACTGCCTGGCCTGCATTAATGCCTCACCAGATGACCTTAGACATCGGACATGGAGTGGCATTAAATTCTATGTCAAAAATAGAATCACTGCAATTCGAAAACAAAATCTAAAATAAAATTCCTTTAAAATAGTTGTTTGGTTTCTATTGACTGTTTTGTATTACTTAAAGTAGTCCCAGTAAAAAAAGATTATGTCTATGGGTCCCATTCTGAACGGCCCTGTCAAAGGGACCCACCAGGTAACAAAAACGTGTATGTGTGGGTGTGTGTGTGTGTGTGTATGTGTGTATGTGTCTGTGTGTGTGTGTGTGTGTATGTGTCTGTGTGTGTTTCAAGTAATATTGAGGTGAGAAATGTCGCCCGATCAGAAGTCTCCATCCCCCGACTCTGAATCTTTGGCTGAATGTGGGAGGTCCTTCTCAGTCCTGGGTCTACAGCCTCAGTCCTGGATCTACAGTCTCAGTCCTGGGTCTACAGCCTCAGTCCTGGGTCTACAGCCTCAGTCCTGGGTCTACAGCCTCAGTCAAGTTGTAGCTTCTCATATTTTAAGGTCTCTCCTCTTCCCCCCTCTCCTCCCCTCTCTCTCCCTCCCCCCCTCTCCTCTCTCTCCTCTCTCCTCCCCCCTCTCCTCTCCTCTCTCCATGCCTCCTCCCCTCCCCTCTCTCTCCCTCCCCCCTTCTCTCTGTCCTCTCTCTCCTCCCCTCTCTCCATGCCTCCTCCCCTCCCTCTCTCTCCCCTCCCCCCTCTCCTCTCTCTCCTCTCCTCTCTCTCCTCTCTCCTCCCCTCTCTCCTCTCCTCTCTCCATGCCTCCTCCCCTCCCCTCCCCTCTCTCTCCCTCCCCCCTCCTCTCTCCTCTTTCCCCTCTCTCCTCCCCTCTCTCCTCTCCCCCCTCCTCTCCTCTCTCCATGCCTCCTCCACTCCTGCAGTGCTCTCAATCAGCTCAGACTGGAGGAGCTTCTAATTCACAATTACATGGACCGCGGCTTACGGTGCGACCCCAGACTCCACCACTTACACCATTCTTCCTCCTGCTGTCAGAAAATTATCTCTTTCTCTATCTCTCTCCTCTCTCTCCATCTCTCTCCTCTCTCTCTCTCCTGTCTCTCCTCTCTCTTGTCTCCCCTCTCCTCTCTCTTTCCTCTCTCTCTCCTCCCTCTCTCCTCTCTCTCCTCCCTCTCTTCTCCCTCCGCTCTCCTCTCTCTCCTCTCTCCTCTCTCCTCCCTCTCCTCTCCCTCCTCTCTCCTCTCTCTTCTCTCTCCTCTCTCCTCTCTCTCCTCCCTCTCTTCTCCCTCCTCTCTCCTCTCTCTTCTCTCTCCTCTCTCCTCCCTCTCCTCTCCCTCCTCTCTCCTCTCTCTTCTCTCTCCTCTCTCCTCTCTCCTCTCTCTCCTCTCCCTCCTCTCTCCTCTCTCTCTCCTCTCTCCTCTCTCTCCTCCCTCTCTTCTCCCTCCTCTCTCCTCTCTCTTCTCTCTCCTCTCTCCTCCCTCTCCTCTC